TTATGTTGAATCTAAAAACTATACTGCAGCGTAAGTTACACCAGAATCGAGTATGAACTAAAGTAAAATAAAACAAAAACCGTGAGGGTTCTAGTTAAGATCCATATGATTACAAAATGTATCGTTTGTCTGTAGGAAAGATCATTTAACTCTTTTCACATGAAAATAATTGCCTTCAACAAAAGGAAAAAGATTAGTGTGACCTGATGTCATGACGTTATTCACTGCAGGGAGCTTATTTTGGAGAAGTTTAACAATGAATTAACATGCACTGCTATAAGCCATGTCAATCCTTTACAAAATTGACTGCTTTCTAAGGTGAAAAAGCCTTTACATGCTTTACCTGGGCACCTGTTACACAATATGCAAGCTCTACCAAAGTTGCTAGCTTTGCAGATAAACCAGTAGAGATCTATATTAGTAGCTCTGGAAAGGCTAATCTGGCAATACTTCTATACTGAGACTTCAGGAAATAACCAGCCTCAGAGACCAGACTTGCAAAAACAGCATAACAGGTCTTCCCAAGTTATGTAAATCATCCTTGATTACATGTGCAATGTGATATGCCACAATTAGGATGAGCTGCTGTGAATGGAAAGAATAGAATTGTTTGAATGAGTTTATTAAGAACATTTCAAAGTCGCTAATTAGAAGTCTTAAGATACCTGATCCAAAGGTGTCTGCGGTGGCGTCGCAGCCATGACAGCTGGTTGTGCTGGATGCCTTGGCCATGCAACAGGAAACCAATTTGAAGCAGCCATCTAGTGCTAATGTTAATTGAAGCCTGTCCTAGAACTGACGGCAATTTGTCTCTTCTGATGATTTCTTTCTACTCCCAAATAAATGTTCATTAAAGCACTAACAGCTACTGGAGCTGCCATCTTCTCTTCAGTGCAGGTGGCTCCCGCAGTGTGTTCATTATGTGAACTTATGCTTTAGCCTGCTTGGCTCTAGTAAATTTCAGATGCTTTTTTGGAAACTTTCTTCCTTTCCTCATGTCTAGTTCAAGCCAAATATTGTACCAAAACAAGCAAACAAACAATCAGAAAAGGGGTATGTTTCTCAGAACAACACTGGGAAACGAGTGGAATGAGGTTCTACTTAGCTTGAGGATATCCATAATTTAAGACTACCTTTGGAAACTTGGCAGGCAGAAAGTGAAGGTTTTGCTCATTTTATTGTCCAGTGAAAACGTGCAAATTTTCTGTCTGAAGATGCTACAAGACGACTTCAACTTTAATTTGCAACAAACTGAAACTACTTGTAGTTGTACTTTTGAATTCACTTATAATTTCATCTGCAATGACGACCCGTCCCTGTTTTAGAAGGTATCAACAAGCCTTCTCCTGAAGTGGCTCCTGTTGGCTGGGATAAGAATTACTGGACTAGAGTATTTCACAAGGTTATAAAATAAAACCCACTGAAAAACAGGAGTACCTGAAGGCAGTCAGGTGCTCTACATTCAGAACCTGAAAGATCTCAGGATTCCTGAACTTCCACATTCCTTAGATGTTAACAAATATCTCCAGATCTATTGAAAAATTTAAGCCCTAACTCCTTTAAAAGCTGGATAGCACAAAGGAGCATAAATACCACTATATGCTTAGTATAGCAAATCCTGCTGTTCTCCTACAGCATCCAAGGGCAGTAAAGCCAAACCTACTTCAGGGATAATGGAAGTGATTTAAGCAAACTAACTTCACTTAGAATTGCAGCTGAATGGTCTGTATCTAGCCTCCCAAGCACCACATCTCCACCATGCAGGCAGGAGTTTATCACACCATATTAAAGTGGTTTTATCAGGCTGAAAATTAAATCCAGACTAGATAATGAACAGCAACTATTCAGTTTCCCTTCTCTGTGGCCATTGCTGTTACAGATGCTTATTAACCACTAAACCCACTAAACTCAAGTGAAAATTACCAAAAATATCCTAATTATTATTTTCTTACTCTAGCAACTATCATTTCCTGACATGCATGACACAACTCCTGCCATACAATGTCAAAAGATACAAAGGCACTTAAGCCGCTGTTTTTATTATTAAATCACTGAGAATAATTTATCAGAAAGAGAAACACTGTAGACTGTTACAGAACAAAATAACAGGCAAACAAACATCTTCATTTTGACCAAATACAAAACACAAGGAAATCCTTGCAGAAGCAGCCAAACTCAAATGTGGCCAAATTCAAAAGCCAGAAAGTGATTTTTCCTCAACAGAGCATTAAGATACATACTGCTGAGAGAAAATACAGTAGTTTTTGATCTGCTAGTTTACTGTCACAGGCAAAACAGGCAGTAACGACAGACAGGTAGAAAGGATCAATACACAGAAAACCAGGAACAAATGGATGCATCAGTTCTTATATATGTCTTTCTTTTTTCTCACATTTTTGCAGTTGTTAAATACATTGTTATGCTCGCTGAGTTGAGCTGCATAGCCTAGCAGAGGCTAAGTTCCCCCAAATACAGAAAAGTTAAAGGGAGCACAAAAAAATGTGCATTTCCAGCAAGCATCTCTGATTTTTGCTAGACCACTGATTCCCACCTGGTGCTGAACACCAAATTCAGTTATGGCTCATCCTGAAGACCAAGCTAATCTTCTCTTCTGGGTTTTGTAGACTAGAATAAAAGTTACGCTTGCGTAACAGTTCAGATGATGGAAGTTCAAGGTTATGTGTTGGCACTGTTGATACAGAGAAAACCCAAAGACGATGTCATTACTAATTTCCAACAGGCAAATACTAGCTACCAAAATATAGTCCTAGAATCACAGGAGCAGCGTAGGACTTCATTAATTCTCTGTGTAAACACAGAAATTCCCTTTTAAATTGTCAATCAAATCTTGTCACCATGTGAACCTCCCTTCACGTTTCAAAAATAGAGTTTTTAAATAGTAGCAGCCCCAGACAACTAAATCTATGACCATGTTTGAAGACAAGGCAGACACTGACACAGGATACACGATTCCTCTGGGGGGAGAGGAGGAGGGAAAGAAAAATAAATAAATAAAGTAAAATCACACAAAATTCACATCTCCTCCCCCACCTCCCTGAAGAAAAAAAAAAAAAAAGGACAGCAATTTCAGGCACTTAATTAATCTACAGAGAGTTCAGCTAAACACCAAGATGGAATACACCTCACGGTGTCTAATCTGTCCTTTGTGTGGACATCAGGAGAAAATACTACGGTATTTCTGCTCCCAACTGCTAAACATGCATTCTGCCCCATTGCTTTCAGAATGCACTTACTCTCTTCCTGAGTGTAACAACTAAAGGAGTTAGGGCAAAGCTCTTTCTTATTTATCTTGTCCTTGTCTTTGGTGATTTCATGGACCTTTGTCTTATCTCAGGGTCTCTTTTCCAGGCCACAGTCCTACCCTATTCAGCCATTCCTTATACACTTGCTATTCCTTGCCACTGTTCATTCTTGCTGCTCTTCTTATACTTCTTCCAGGGCTACTGAGTCTGCTCTGCACGAAGACTCTCTTTTCCCTTTACCTTGAATTTCACGTGCCCTCTTACACCACCTTGTTCACCCAAGACCCGGGGGAGGGCAGGGGGGTCCCTCTCTGCAGTTTGTCGCAGTGGATCCTCAGCACCTCCCTTCTAGCCCCTCTCCCTTCTCCCCTCTTCCTTTCTGGATCATTTATGAACGCGTTGAGCTGTACACATGGCTAAAACACCGATCCTTTTGAGATGGGAATGGAAAAACCCTCCCCTGGAAAAATGGAGTATCTGGGAATTTTGTTGCTGCTGTTGATATTATACTCTTTCCTTCAGTGGGATTTTAGTAAAGCCTTTATTTGGCCACCTATTTTTATCAAAGACGTAAGAGGTTTTTTTTTCTGAAATTCAGTTACATTTGGTAGAATGGGCTAACAGGTTTCAAAGTTACCAGACAGAAGTTACATACAGACATACGGTGATAACACAAGCCTTGTTTCTTCAGTAAACCAGTCCAAAAAGATTACTTAAAAATATGATCTGCCACCTGCAATGAAGTTTCATTTGATATTGAAATGTATTCTATATTAGTATGCACTTGGCATGTCTCCAATACATATATTAAAAATATGTATATTTATGTATTAAGCTGTGTTTTAATTTTTCATATTTTATATGCACTATTTTAAATCACTGTGGACACCATAAATTATAGACTGATGCCTTCTATGCAAAGAAAGAGATAAATTGTTATATGCAAGACAGATTCCCATCAGAGAAGGAAAAATTTAAGAAATACAGAAAATGCAAAAAGCATCATTATGTGCAGTGAAGAACTCCTTCATACACTCTAATAGTTTTTGCTTTCTACTACTACAACTTCTTATTCCCTGGCCTTGACAAATGCATTCTTGGCCAACATAAATCCACACAAAATGCTACCATAAAGATAATTTTTATGGCTCATTACTTTGACCATGTCACCTTTCACTTTGCACCCCTCTGCTGATTCCCTCATCCCTTTGCTATCAAACACAAACTACCCACCTTCATTTGTAAGACCTCTCAAATACAGAGCTAGAGTATACATGTCATCCTTCATTTGCTATCTAGATGTCAGCCCCGGCCTCCTCTTTGCCTGTACTGGCCTTGGTTGTCAATTTGTCAAATCTCCCAAATCAACACCTTTATACTTCAATTCATGTCATTATTTTAACGTGAAATGCCCAGAAAGTTTCCCGACTTTCCTGTCTTAAACTCTTCCTTAAAATGCTGTTTTAATAACAGGCACTCAGTTAGAGGATGGTGCACTGTAGCCGGCATTAATGTTACTCATCAAAACACAGTCACGATTACCATGCACTTCCACAGACCTTTCTAAAAATCCATTTCTGAACTCTACAAGGATGGAACTCCTACCCACTATAACGTTCTTTACAACAAACACAGTGTGCATGAACCTATTTTCCAAATAAACAAGAGGTTTTTAAACACTGAAAATAAGCAGATCAGTAACATTGTTTGCCATCTTAAGCTCTTTTGGTAATTTACCTGAGTTGCAGCAACAACAGTAGTTACAGAAGGCGCAGTTGAAGGTGATAGAGCTCCCACCTGCAAGTGGCTTGAAGCCTGCTGAGGTAAATGAGAACTGGAAACGGGAGTGCTAGATCCTGAGCCAGATACTGCATTTGGAAATGATACTGCTACATCATTGCTGCTAAAAATACCTGAAAAAAATTACAAAAACAATTACATGCATCTCTCTCTCTCTCCCCCCCTCCCTCTGCTGTTTAGTAACCATGTAAATACGCAACAGAAAATTAATGAAGATAGACACAATAATTTAATAAACAATACAGAAAGTTCCTCGATGTAATTCGAACCGTGCTCAGAAGTACTCTTGTCATTGACATTTTACAATTCAGGAAACACAGATTCAGTTTTAAGCTTTAATAAAATGGTTGCGATACATCAAATATTTATATGCATTATGCTGAAATATTAACAGTAGCAGAATTATTGGCTCAAATGCTTGCCTTCAAAATCTGCTACCTGCATTTATTGTCTCAATGAGCTACTACTATGAATATTTAATTAGATAAAGATTTCAGTATTAGGTTGTTTAAAAGATTTGAATGCAAAATACTTTTTGACTTTAAAACATTTGTGGACTAAATACATTTGTTCATAAAGTTTTAAGAGAATTTTGGCAACTACGAGGATTTCTTCTGTGGTTTTAGGAAAAAAAGGACAGCAAGTTTGAGGCCAGTCCTCAAGATTTGCTGGTAGAAGTGGTCGCATTTCATTTATTCACAAACTAGCACCCCATCTGTGGTCTACGAATGCTAGAGCAACATTTCTGCTAGAGCAGGCAACAAGTAAATGACTAAACACGTTAACATTAGTCAGACTTGTATGTTAGGAATTTGAATAGAAGAGTGCATACCCCTCTACGAGGCCATTACTTCTGCTCAGCTACATGCAGGGAGAAGTTGATTATGTGGGTCAGGAAAATCCCTATTGACCAGAAGCCCAGGACAAGAAGTAGTACCTGTCTATGAAACTGTTAGGCTCCACGTGCATTAGATAAGTGAGCTGTCAGCTGGCCAAGGAATATCAAGCATGGTAGCACTGAACTGCAGTTAGAGGAAGAGTGCCACAGGGAGTAAACAGAAGTAGAATGAACATGGTTAGATCCAAAAAAAGCCACAGAACTGAAATGCCAGTTAGAAGGCAAAGGGTGGAGCTAGTTTGTCACTCACACAAATACTGATCTGGAGAAGGCAGAGACAAGAAGATAAGCAAGGTTAAACACTGCTCTCCACCCAGCCTTCTGCCTGAGCAAGGCAGAGGGAGGCCAAGATAACCCAAACCCACACACAATAGCAGATCCTGGCTCATTCTACACTTCCTGCCTCTTTAACCATCACAAAAAGCTAAGAAAAAACCAGCCAGACTCACCAGAGAAAGAACAGCTGAAAAACTCAGGTAAAGACATATTCAGAAAAAGGTCATTTTTCCCTCTGCCTAAGCTAGGTTAGTCACTTGTTTTAATCTTCTCCCCAGCCTCTTCATCACAGCTCAGTTTTACACCTGCTCCTCTTTCCTACCAACCTTCGCCTTCTTCCTCCTTTCCTACCTTATTTGTCCCATCCCATCCCTGACTTGTTTAGGCACCACCCCAGAACTCCACCACAGGGGAGCTGAGGGCAGCCAAGATCCTCAAGGTGTTCACATGGTTAGGCCCTTTCCTCCAGCTCTGTCTCATCTAACTGGGCAGTAAAGCCTGTGCATTCTGCTCTACTTTGGTCTCTCCACACTGCCAAAATAAACACCATTAACAGAGTTTTGCTATTGAATCTATTCTTCAATGCTAGATCAGGCAGCCACAAAAGCTATAAATAATGTGTGTGTTTTTTTTTTTAAGGCCCTCTTCCGTAAAATAATAAAATCTCCTTTGGAACAAAGGTTTTAAATTAATAAAACAAATGTAGGAGCTTCCCTAAACACACTTAGCATTCTGGATATATATTCTATATTATAAAAGCTACTAAATTCCTTAAAAAAAAAAAAAAAAAGATTCTTCTGCAATTGCTTTGCTCCAGGAGCTTTGACTTTAAGGTGGAAATAAATAACAAAATATCACAAGACTTATGATCAAATCATAAGAGCTGGTCTCCGTTGCTGTTATCATTCTCATAAAATATCAGTGATAATGAACGGAGAAAATGATGACATTTTCAGAGGGAGTTAAGTAGTGACAAAGATAGATATTTTGCCAGAAAGCTAAAATGAGCCCCAAATTCAGAAGCATGCTGTTGCAGGGTTTTTTCTGAAATTTGTGGAACCTCACATGTTTAATAACCACAGAGCTTCTGCTGTTTTAATTGTAAGGTTTATTCTTCCTCTTAAAAATACAATTTGAGACTGCAAGCAGACAGTTATAAAACCATGGGCATAAAGTTGCTTCAAAAGACAAACAGTAATTTGCCAGTGGAACAAGACTTTTTTTTAAATTTAAATATAAAAGCTCACTATTTGTTGCTGTTGAAAAAGACAGGATGAAGAGGACCTATCCACACACTTTCCTTGAATTAAGTATTTCCATTTAGCAATACTTTAACATGATATATAGAGCACATGCACTTTGTGGAGGCATTCATGTAATCAGGATATTACTGCATGCAACCACTCAGATAAGAACTGGATACTCAACATGCAAATCAGTCCTTGATTTTCACACCCTTTCAAAGATAACTGTATAAAAACTGTGCACATATCATGTGAGAAAACCAAAAAAGTTTTCTTTTTTTTTTTTTTTTGGTAAATCATTTTCCAAATTTGCAAAGAATAATAAGGAAAGCCTGAACATAACATAAATCAAAGTCAGGTTAAAACATATTAAATTAAGAGTACTCCCCCACATTACTGAAAAGCTAAACAGTCCCAGGCTGTGATGAGACACACTGTGCAATCTGCAAAGGCATGAGCAGCATACTGCTAAATACAAGCTGAGGAGTTTAACGAAGAGGTAGTAGTTTGGCTGCTGATACACATGGAAACAGGCACTTAAACACTTTTGGGGTAAAGTCTGAGTGTACTCAACACTGCTAGCACAGCTGCCCAACACCATGTCAGGCTCTGAGAGATTAAAAAAGGCACATACAGCCTGTGTTGATTAAGTGAGATTTTTTTAACAGAAGAGCAAATGAGTATCCCTGGGCAAGCAATACTCGCCTGCTCAGCACTGAAGGATGAGGCTACAGTGAAAGGGGCACATGCAATTGAAAGATGAAAAAATGTTCTTTCCGCTGACAAAAAAAATGATGAAATAGATAACAGAGGAAATCTCTCTCATAGTTGGCTGCTCCTAGTATTTTTCAAAAACTTCAGGACTAGCATCACCCTGCCTAAGAGTTTTTAGAAATGTTAACTTGCAAGCCCACAAGAGATGCACATAACTACAGACCTTAGATGTCCCTTCCTATCTTGGTGAGGGCTGGAAAGGAAAATAATTTTAAAAGGGACTTAGTATTGGAATACACAGGAATAAAACTCATGCCTTAAGAGTAAGAACCAACTTAAACCTGGTGATTTCAAGAACATCTCCCTTAAAATCATGACAACTTTCCATACTGAGCAAGATGAAAAAGTGTTTTTAATAGAGTTGCATTTAAAGCAGCAACTAAGCATTTAAAAAAAAAAAAAAAGATGATTTACTTTCCTTAAACAAGCAAGAACATGTTCCTTTCTGATAGGATATAACGGCAGAAAAATTAACCCCCAATTTGTCATTTTCCATTACGGACAAAATACAAGCAAACAGGTTAATGCGATGCCATAATCTTAAAAGATAACAAAGAGAGCTGCGTTTGAGGCTGCCAAACTAGCAACTATATTTCATTTCATTTTACCCGAGATAATGAAACTATGGCCTGATGCTAGGGCCATCTGGTTTCCTTCCTCATGACAGAATATGAAGATCAAATAATCTGTTCTTCTGCTCGTGAGCTTGGCGGCAGAGTTTCATTTCAGATACGTTCTTACAAGGTTCTGAAGTAACAGGACTTAAGACATAGGAAAATGACAGTTACTTCTCTGCAAGCCCATAACAAGCCAGTATGTCCCTTCCTTTCAGTGACGGGGAGTCCTTTGCTCCCTTAGGTACAACAGCCTTTCCAGAGAGCAAGTCTGTACGCTTCATGAAGGGCTTTCTGTTCCCTCTCTGTGATGGGAAAAAGAGCTCTGAAATCTGCAGTACTCATAAAATACCAACTGCAGAAAGCAGAGGGGGAGGCACAGACACAGAATGCATGCACATGTATTTTCAGAATGGAGTAGCTATTTTAGTTTTGCAACTATTAGCAAAAAGTAATTCCCATAATCATTCCCTTTGAAAATACTATGTAGTTTGGAGTTATAGCCAAAGATCAAAATGTTTCACAAGAATCTCCAAACAACTGAGAGTCACAATTCTGCATGGCAATGTTACACACACAGTGAATCACAGTGATTTAAAGACAAGGTCATATGATGTTCAGATATAGGCTCCAAGGCTGCTATCAGGATTCACTAAAATTAATCCTAAATTCTGGACAGTTCAACTAGCAAGAGGTGTCTATTCAGGCTCTTCTGGCTACATCCACCCCCACCTCCATGATCCTGCCTGGGCTAACAGCTATCTCTGTTCTTCCAAGGATTTACACAGTAACAGCATAAAGTAAGGTGTCCAACCTGATCCATCCATGGTGCTACCACAATAGTCTGCTATTCTGTTCACCTAGTCCCACCTGCTACGGCCAACAATTATTCTACACTTGACCATTAGTATCTTATTAGCACTCATCAGTGACTACTACATTCCTGCCAGCAGTGGTACAGAACGCACTCTTCAGTATGTGTTAGAGTGACTAATACGTATCCTGGCCAACTAATATGAAACACCTTGTAAGAGCTGCTTAAGTCAAGTTAATCATTACATAGTTCTCAATTAGACTTCTAATTCCCTATGTGTGCTTCCAAGTACAGGAGTTCAAAACTTTCTAAGCCACTGTTAGGAGATTCTGGGTTGCTGGTGCAGAGAATGCCCGCTCCTACTTTGAATTAATCCAAGCCACAACTGGTCTTTCAGTGCAGCCCTCATAGCAGAGGGGCTTGCAAGCAATGCAGGGAGAGTTACAGCACTGCTTACACTACCCCTGTCTCCAACAGTGTCACAGCTGCTGCCTGAGGAACAGCACAAGGAAAAGCATGAAGTGATACTGCCCTTGAAAGTCCTGCCAGCCTCTGCACATCTGTGACTAAAGTATTTTGACCTTGAAGAAGGGCCTGTGTACATATTAACCTTGGGTGTACTCTCCTCCCCAAGTCTCCAAAGGAATTTGTTCCATTTTTTTCTGAACTGATGCAAATTTCCAAACCGTGTTCCTTTACAAAGCTATTCCAACTTCAACTCTATGTTTTGGGGAAAAGATTTCTCTTCATTTGTCCTGAGTCTGGCAGTCTACTAGACTCCATGGGACACACACTACTCTGGCTGAACGTCATTAGCACAGGAAAAACGGGGCTGGGAAGATGAAAGTACAAGGCACTAACACTCACCATGCAGAAGAAGAATCATTTGGGCAGGATGAAATGCAGAAAAGGGTCAATATTAGAGGAGACTGCAGTGAGGGAGATGGAGGCAGCTTGGGGAGAGAAGGGGCTGAAGCACAGCAATGGGTTTGGAAGGAGCAGGGAGTGCTCATGTTACAGCAGAACAGGACACCTGCAGGGACACAGTGACAATTAACTCTGCAGAAGAAACCCTGAAACCTACAAGAAATTCCAATGTAATTTTTCACTTGTTTTTTTTTGGGTCAACAAACAGTCTAGAGAAGAATTTGTGTTTCTGGCTCACATGCTCTCATCCAGTAAGATAACCCTGTACACACTTCTGGGATATATGCAGGAAACATCTATGCCAAAGCAGGAAACACATTCCTGGCTTGTCTCACCAAAAGCACTCAAAATACTAACTGAAAGGATTCTCTAAATAACTCAATCCCTGTAACTCTGGCTTTTTACTTTTATCTGGTTTATTGCAGGCTGTTCCCTTACTTGGGCTGAATGGTCCTCTCCCCATCACAAGACTGAAAATACATTGTTCACATAAATAGATTCAGACCTCCATGCTTATCACATTATTTTACTGATATGTCAGGTTTTCATTACACCCTTCCCATGCATCCAGAAATCCACTACATGGTCTGGCCTGGCTGAAAGACATTGAGGAACAGATGTTTTGCTGGCTCTGAGTTTGCACCACTGAAACTTATGCAGCTGTTTATAAGCTAGGCCCAGAAAATATCAGTCTCTTTAATAAATTACAATATATTATAATGTATTATGAGTATCAAACAGAGAGGCAAGTGTGGTGCATTGAGATGATAATGCACTGGGCACACTCCATATATTTTTAGGGAACTGCTAGTCTCTCTTTTTTTCCCTGCAGAAACATCTTTAATAAGGAATTATGACAAGCAAGCGTCCTCAACAGCACAACACGTGCTTAGTTGCAAAGAAGGAAATCTTGCAGCTGACTCTCTGAATTTCCTTTCCTTATTCACTTTTGTTCTGCATAATACACACACGAAAATCTCCCCAATAAAGGCATTAACCGAGATCATTGTAATGGAAGTTTACTCTCTGTTCTTTCAGCATGAACATCCTGATTTTGAATCCTGATTTTGAATCTCCAGAATAAATCTTTGAGATGCTTTAAGGTTCATATCTACATTTTTTTTTAGCTTTATGAACCTAGGCACACCATCAAAAATTCTTTGCTTGCTCAGGTATGCTTCAGGTTTTGAAGCACTCCCGTGGAATAAGATCAATAAGATCCAGAGCTCTGTCATCAAGTCTGAGATACACATGCGACAGGAAAGACCTGTAGTTCAAATGCATCAGAGCAGGGAAAGATCTTTGCAAGAAGAGTAAGTTAAGTAGAGAAGACGTGATAAAGAAAGATCGTAATTTTTATTTAGATGTTAATATTTGTCATTGTGAGCCAGTGTGTAAGTATGCCAGAACATGAGCATGGCATTTGTATCCAGGTTGCCTATTGATTTCCAGGAGGACCTTACTGTGTTAGCTTCAGATCTCCGAAAACCTATCATAGCATCAAATCTGTCTCAAATCACAGCTTGAAATCCATCTCAGTACAAATCAGTGCAGGCACTAGATCCTTCTTAGTTGTTAAAGGAGACTATTGTCTGCCAAAGAGTTTCTGTTTCTACAGTTCCTTTCCTTCTCCCTTTCTAGATTCCAGTGTTTCAAAGTGGGTGTTTTTGAAGGCATCCTGCAGCATCCCTGGCTGATCCAACATTTTGGAAAACAGGGACTTCAGAGATACGAATAACAATGGGAACTGAACTACAATTAGTTGTTTCTGGTTGTGAGTAACAGCTGTTGCCTTAACCGCTGAAAGACAACATAGCAGTTTATCATCAACAACTAACACTTCAAAGGGGAACTTTGGAAACTCAGAGTGAACGCATTATACCTTCAGGTTGCAGTAACTGACAACAGTAAGACTCCATTATTTAAAACTTAAAAATAAATAAATAAATAAATAATAAAAAAAGGCAGAAAGTATCTGCTTCAGGGTGATTTTGTAATTTTCCTTTCTCCTTCCCTTCTTTAAATTTACGTAGTATAGCTCAGCACTACTGTCTCCATGCACCAACAGCGGCACATATGGCTTTTTATCAACCCTGTAAAAGTCTATCTAAATTTGGCTACATTCAAAAAAACAAACAAGCAAACGAAAAAAGGCACCTAGTTCATTTTTCTGTTTAACGATCACTTTATTAAAAAATAAAAATCCCAGCTACAATCACGGGCTAAATTTTGCCTGCACTAGTGCCGAGGCGGAGGCTGCAGGACCGAGGGCATTCTGTGCAAACGCCCTGTCACCTGAACCTGCCGGGGCCAGAATGGAGGGTGCAAGGATGGTCTGCTCTGTGCTACGATTCCCAGCACTCCAACTCACAGAGTGAGAGCAAAACGAAACAAGGTCAAAAAACTGAGAACAGGAACGAGAAGGAAAACAGACAGAGAATGAGCAAGAAAAGAAATAGCCAGAGAAGTTATACACACTAAAGCTCCCAAACAGACCTGCGTGCCCTTGGCCTGCACTGGCAGGCCCATAAAGACAACACAGAACGTAAGTGACCTTCAAGTCAAGTTTAAAAGTTTGACTCTGATACATCTGAGAAGGACAAAGCATGAGATTCTTGCACTATAAATTAGGGTGAAAGCTTTACCTTTATGTCAACTGTAATTTTTATGATAGTCTCTTTTTACATGTTTAGAAAACAAATAAGTAAAAGCAATAACAATATTTACCAAAACCAAGTAGCCAAGAGCTAAGTTTCACCCTGGCAAAATCTTAGCACATAATTTCTGCCTTCAATATCTTGACTCCATTTTATTAAGAATGATTCCTTTCTTAAAAGACAGAGTTTGCAGGACTGTTCTCTAGCTTCTCTAGCTCTCCTTTCTATCTGGTCCTTTCCTAAGTGCTAAAGTCTTTGGCCATCTTCTTTCCTCCTTCACACTCTGTCAGCATTGACTGACTGCCTTTGACTATCAGCCTTCACACTAACAGCTCTCAGATGACCTTCTCTGCTCCAAACTTGTAGTTGTCTCCAGTCCACTCAAAAGCTTTTTATTCTTCTCCTTTTTGATGCCTTTCAGCTGATGTGCAACCAACATAAATTCTGTGCAACTAGAAATGAGCTCCCGAGGCATCCTGTCTCCATCAAAATCACAGATTATGCTGCTATTCTCATTGTCATCCAGACTCATAATCTGAATGTACTATTGAAGTAAACTATCTTCCTAGATTTAACCATTATGTCAAGTCAAAAATATTTTCTTTTCATTCTATAAACTCATCACAAGATCTTTCCTTTCTGCTGATATCACAACATCTCTGCCTTCCCTCAACGATTTCATCTGTGTATACAGCTCCACCAAAACCAGAGCACGCAACACAACTGCCAGACCAGGGGGAGGGAAGGAAGGGATGGGACACAACAGACTTGTAAACCTTACTGAGATGAGAAAAGGGAAGATGAGAGTGGAGGGAGCAAACACACAAGTAATGTTATTGCCACCCCCAATAAGGAGTTCAAAATGCATAACCATACAAAGAATAATCACTGCTTGACAAGAAAAAAAACAATATTAAGCGATCGCTTTCTTCTATCCCCTTCTGACGTCTATGCTGGAGTTAAGAACACACAGACGGTTTAAAAAAAAGAGAAGGAATTCAGAAGTGCAAGGTGGAATCAAACGATCACAAATGCATCCTAGCAGCTTCTCTTCTGTGCTCCACAGCAGTGAACCTATCCCCTCTTCAACATGAAGCAGCAAAAAGGCTCTGCTGATAAAACAGCAGAAACTCACCAAGTCCAAATTCAGCACACACTGTCAGATACCCTTCAGATGTTATATTTTTGTTCAGAAAAAAATGATGAACTTGCTTTCCTTCACCACAAAGCTGCTTCAGAGGACTGCATACCTGGGAGCGTGAGAGGGAAACCCTATATCAAAAGGAAAAAAGCTAAATCTATTTTACTAAAGCAGAGCAAATCTAGAGAAATTTCAGTATTTCTCACATGTAGACTATGAAATTAAATTTAAATGCATATTAAATTGAAAATTATTAAGACTCATCACTAGAGACATCTGCCTCACAGATGCAATTCAAGCTCCAACAAGAAAAGTAAAGGGCTTATAAAACCTTCATAATTGCTATTTTAAAGTGCAAAAAACTTCACTATGTGAAAAATCAAACATATTCTTTTGATATGCTGAACAGTGAGTTGATAAAATTTGCAGTATGCACAGCACTGCACTTCCAACACAAACATCAATAAGAAAATCATTCTATTTAGCCAACATTACTGGATAAAAACTCCTATTTTTTTTATTAAAAGATTGCCTGACACCAGTGGAATGTAAAGTTAATAAACAATCTTGATTGCCTTCAAAACAAACCTCCTGAGAAGGTTTTAACTATAAAATATTCCCTCCTAAATCTTCCAGAAACTTGTTACCTATGATACCTACAAATGAACAAAAGCCTTGAAAAAAAATAAACCAAGGTCTAATTCAGCAAGATACATTTTGCGTCCACTGGCTATACGGGAATACAGAAGGACAGGTACCAAGCCAACACAGCGCACTGAAGGGCAATGGCAATCAGTGCCTGATACATTAAGGCTTCACTACTACTCCTTCTGAAACGGCGCGCGGGCGCCGGGCTGCGGGACAAAGGCTTCACAAAGCCAGGCCTCCTTCCCACGCGCACGGGCAGGAGCACAAGGAGCCGGGAAGCAAGCGGGAGAAAGGCCGGGATAGACACGGCCGCCCCGCGCCCCTGAATGGGGCGCACAGGGAGAACCAGAAACACTATTCACCCAATTGAAGAAAGGAATCTCAGCGCTGGAATAAAACTGTTATCATTTTACTGCTCGCATACAAAAAGATCATAAAGAGGAACCTGAGGAACTGTTGACCTATGAGGCTCCTGCCGACAAGCTACAAAGTTTTCCCTCAGGTCCCGAACAATCGGCTCGCTGCACACCCGCATCTCAGGCAATCAATGGAATATGCAGACCTTCAATCAGCCCCTGCCACAAAAGGCTGCCCTTTGTGATAAATGAGCCTCTGAACAAGATTCTAATATAACTTACCATTATAGATGGTATTCATCAACTCCGAAAGCTTTTGAGTTAGGAGAAAAAGGGCTTCTTCATGTTAAGATCATGTTTAACAGACACACAAAAGAATATATGTATAGGCAGGAATTTCAGTGAACAATAATATACCTGAATACATCTTTCTTGTGTTGGAGCTCTGATCGTCTGTAGTAGCTCGAACTGTAAAATCCACTGTCATTTTTTACTTGTATTTCTTTTGTCAGTGTTTGTCAGCTTTTAAACGGCTGGTGGAAGAACATCGCAGCACATGCCAATTAGCTGCATTCCCAAGCTACTGTAACGAATAAAAAGTCTAACACTTTCCAGTGGCAATCAGGCTTCCCAACAAAAGGCCGATTTTAATTTCATTGTCCGCAACAAATTTGGAAACTTCAACTGAAGCTGCCTGGCTAATTTTAATCACAAGGCATCTTTTCTGGTTCACTGATAGACTAACTCATGCAATCAAGTCTAACAGAAACCAGTTGCATCTCAGGGACTTGGCTCAGACTAGTTGAAGAAGCACTCAGATTTGTAGAGAAAAAGGAGGTGTCAAGCAGTGGCAAACCAAAGGGCACGCTTATATTAACTGTCTTTTCTTCAGGGGGGATTTTTGCGATCTAGAGACCATTGATCTCTGCCTATACAGTGCCAGTACCGACATTCTCTGCTGAGGGGCTGGAGACCTCCGTAACTCAGCCCACACCATCGCCCTGCTGAGTTGCTGCGTGGCAGTGGCCGCACAGACATCACTGCCACTGAAGTGAGGGTTTTGTTCATACTTCAGATAATGCCACAGTGACTGCAAAATGCTATATTTACAATTTACGAGTTCACTTTTTTCCACGCTACTACTGAATACCGCCTTGGTTTCTCTCTTTGCCACTAGTTTTGGCCAGAGGATAGAGTGGCTAAAGGCCCCTGCAGCTCTTCTGCGGGTGAATTTTCTCTCAGTATTGACCCCTGCACATGGCTATTTAGTTTTTCAAAAGTCATTTTTGAACAACTCTTACGTTTTGTTTTCCCTTCTGCATTCACCTGACAACTCACAGCTCCTGAAAACTTGCTGCAACTCACTCCCCCACCTTTTTAACTAGCTTTTCAGAACACCAGGTTTGGGGGAAAAAAAAAAACACAAGAAAGACAATTTAAAATATCTTTGTTATCCATGTAATTACAGACCTAATTCAGAAATCATTAAAAATACTTCATGTCTTTTACTTATTGCCTAAGCTTAAGTAAGCAGCCAAAGTCACTTCTACAGAGAAAGCTTAGGAAATTGAGACTATAAGCTTATAACTCGAGCTACCAGAAGCACATAGCAACACTGACTTTAATTCCACATCATCATTACAGACCAAGTCCTAAAACAAAATTTGAAAATTGTGTGGTGAAGAAAAAGACAAAACCCAGGTTAATCTTGATGAATCTAATAAAAAATGAGCACTGGTCATTTTAACCAACCTCCTCCACAATTCAATTTTCACAGATCTGAAACAATGTACAAAAAGATCCTTATGCATGTCAAAAGCATCACCTTACAAGGCAAAAAAAAAAAAAAAAACACTAAAAATTCACAGAGGCTTTCCTGGGATTGTACAAATCACACCACCAGGATAAACCCTGCCATTGCTGTAGAGGACATGACCCAAATGAAGATTTTGCTCTTTCAGGCAACAGCCATTTCAGCCACACTGACACTCACAGTGTAAGTATTTCCTTATTTAATCATAACAGGATCAGCTTATCCCAGTTGTGCTCAACTTGTGTGAAAGAAACACAGACCAGCGGTTTTGACCCATCATTGTTTGCAATATCAGGGGAAACTGGTGACAGCTTTAAGGAACTGGCATATCCACTGTCTTCCCACACATCACTCCAACCTTTCAGAGATGTTTTAACACAGAACACATTAAATAGCTCCAGTGAATAATTCAGTACTACAGGATATCCACTTCACAGACAAATTAAGAAAAGATGCAGTTGAAGAGCAGAGAAAAAAAAGCACAATTAACTTAGCAAAACGGATCTCAAACAAGTAGGTGTTGAGCAACTCAAGAATGTATCTAAAGGAAAAGTGAGAGAAAAACCACAGCACGGTCCCCTCTATCTGCAAGTATGGCTAACCATTGCAGGGGGGAATGGAATATAGAATCCTTAGAAGGACTGAGCTACTCCAGGACACGGACTGACAACACTTTGGCAGTCTGCAGCTGTAGGTCTCAGAGCGAGCTTTTCATGTCACGCAGTAATCAAAAAGGACAAGTGTTACTAGTTACCAGAAAGGAACAGAGAAGAAAACATCACTATGCTACCCAAAAAATAATGCTACACCTTCAAATACTACACACTAATTCAAGTTCTACCCACAGTTCCCAAAAAGAGAGGTACAGAAGAAGACAACAAGGATACAGTATGAAGAACAAATTTAGTTTTAGGTCTGAAGAGTCAATTAGGGGACATGATAGAAATATATCAAACATGAATGCTGTAAATATGCTGAATATTTAATGACCATTCACTCTTTCTCTTTTCAAGTAAGAGTCAAAACATGATCAGCAACAGCTTTAAAGACCAAGAACCTAATCGTACATATGATGCACAAACCCACAAAATCCACTTGTTACATGTTCCAGATGCCACCAGCATCATTGATTTCAAGATTAGACAAGTTCATGGAAGAGACAGATTCATGAAGAGATCAGCAAGAGAGTGTCCTGTTTCTCCCACCATCTTTGAAAGAGCTCATACACTTACATGATTAAAGGCCAATATTAGACCTGCCTCCTTTACGCCTCCTATTCCAGATGACTAATAGAGCTAGTTCTAGATCCTCCTCAAGCCTCAACTAAGAACAGAAAAAGATCTGTTCCCCACCACAGCTCTCTCCTCCACCCCATAAATCAGTGGAAGACAGATGAAAAGAGGGGTATTTTATCCTGGAAGGAAAAAAGAGCTTCTGTCCAGACTCCTGGTGTAACTGTGTCTAGTTGTAGCTACCTTTTTCCTGACTTTTCCTGCACTGAAGCACATTCCCAGACACCTACTCTTCTCCTACAATTCACAGCCAAGCTATTGAACCCCATTAAAATGTCAAGAAAGTTGAGGGACGGTGAACAGTGACCATAGTTTTTTGGCACATATATGCTCTATTTCACAATCTTCTTTTTTTTTTTTCCCCCTCACATTTCTTTTATTTCCCATCTCTGCAGCTGCACTTTACTCATTCATAGTTGTATCCTTTCTTTCCTCAGTAAATCCTCATAGTACCTGCTATGATGTTTTTTAAAGCTCCCAATTTCTTAAAATTAAAGCTGGCAGTAGATGTCCTTACTCCCAGCTCACTCCACTTTCAGTTTGTTTCAGACCTGACCACATATCAATAGCTACACTGGAATCACCACTCCTTTTTTGTTCATTACCTGTTTTTAAGGGAATTGGTCTCACATACAAAACTAAGGTCAAATTCTAAGCTTACCACTACTCCTGCACCCAAAACAACAACAAAAATGTCTACTGATTTTAGCCACAAAAGGGCCAGTAGCAAATGAGATAAAAACTTCTGATGAGACATTAGATCATATTAGAAATGTGTTGTAACTATTGAACTCTTTTTTAATCTGCATTTGACATTCACACTTAAAGCAAGCTATATTAATGATTTATGGATTGGTTTTGGTTTGTTTCAAAAACTAGAAGGGAAGCAAACTAATTTAACTTGGAAGCTCTAGTCACCCCTATCAGGAAAACACTCTCACGAATGTGCAAAAGAAATAAGCAAAGGAAAAGCACATAAAACTAAGTGAAGTCCAAGGCCTGTGATGATAGGAGGACTCATGCAAAATGCCCAGGCCCACATTCTCCAGTTCCTTTTGCTGAGAGCTTTTACTAGAACCACGTGCCTCTCCATTCAGCACAAGGTTCTGGAATGACACTTTGGAGGAACAACAAAATCCAGCTTCTTGCAAAGTATTTTGACAGTGCACAGCCTGTATATGGCATACCAGTGGATCAAACACATACACCACTCAGCTACCCCCGATACTCCTGCAAAAAAAGTGTGTTTGAGTAATCTTCTGAATATACAATGTTGTCTTATTTATGTCAATTTTTTGGCACTGGGTAGACTATTTGGAGATGAGCTCACATCGGGTATATCAGTATCATGGTCTTCTGTGTCTTTAAGCAACTAGTGCTGGTAATCTGTAGCTGATGTGCAGTTAAAATACCAGGATATATTGTCAGAGTGCAGCTAAGAGCCAAATCATTATATCTAGGTAGATGATTGCTTTTATAATTTTCCCTTTTTTGAAACTGCCTAAATACAAATGTTACTGGACTCTTAAAGTTGCAACTGCAAAGCTGTAAGAACAATTCCGTTCTGGCCACTTAAACCAGAATTAGGACTTTGGTTTGTCAGCAACCCCAGTGACATGAAGCTAGCAGGGGGCTGCCTAATTTCAAGCGTTCACCAGAGTTTCCGCGACACACGGGCCCCAAAGCCGTCCCAGGACGTACGGAAACACAGCTCCCGCAACAGCCTGAGCAGCAGGAGCTCCTGGGCGTTGGGAGGCTGCTGTGCTTAGTCCCATCACCACCACATAAGCTGCTTTAGAGAGTTAAACAAATTATTTGAGCGGCAAGGATGCATAGGAAGTGAGGAGTGATATTTAGCTATTTGGTTTAGCCATCTGCTTAAAGCCATCGTGGTGCTTTTGGGAGTTGCTATGTTAAAACAGGAATCTGTTCACTACAAGACTTAATTATTTTGCCCTGGACCAGTTTAAAGGCCAAATATTTTACAATAGCAACCATAACAGTGTGAGAGGGTTTTCTTTTTTCTTTTTTCTCCTCTCTCTCTCTTTTTTTGTTTGTTTTTTAAACCTTTAGAGGGGAATCTCAGAAATTATTAGGATAATCAAGAGGCAACAGAGCATATCCTCATATGGGATTTCCTCATCCCAAAGTTAATCCTGAAACAACCTTCACTCAGTTTAAATTCTGACACTGCAGGGATTCACAACA